TATATGTACTATATAATTATATGCCTAACGGTGAATATAATATATTATATATACATATATATTTAATATCTTTTCAGTTTCGATAACATAGTAGCCTTGAAACGGATGAAAATTATATTGAACTAGCAAGACTCGCGGTTTCGCTCGTGTTAAAACTACGAAAAAAATATTAAAGTTTTTGGCTTTATGTTATAAGTAATTAATACAGAAACACCCCCGCTCCCCCGCATGCCCTGCGACACTCTCGCGCCGTGCACCCGTCTTCCGTGTCGTGTAGGATTTTCGAAGCCCTATTTGACTCTGTTGGGGGATGATTTTGGAAAAACTATAAACTGATACATGTGTGTCATTACTTTAATTGAAAAGTATTTGTACCAATTTTCGAGTCAATCGACCCAGAGAATGAAGTTTCACAGAAAATTCAACCCCCCTTTTCACCCTCTTAGGGGTAGAATTTCAGAAAACTTTTTTCTTAGTGGATACCTACACTTCTTAAAGAAATCATCCTCCAAATTTTATGCCGAAAAACTCAGCAACGCAATAAAATATCAAAACAAATTAATAAGTTTAAACACAGCGATGTTAATCGTTATCATGATGGTATGAAGCTTGTCGGTTAAATCTCCACGGTAGGTACTTATTATATGAATGTTTGTATTGTCACCGAAGTTGCATAGGTACAGGTTGTAAAAACTTAACATATCTAATCTAATGGGAAAGACAGAATGACAGACTATGTGACAAGTGAACTAAGAAAGTTAAATAAGAGGTTTTAACAAAATCGTATTTAAATTATCGTAAAGGTTAATAAAATATAACGTATAAATTGTTAGGTGACCTAAACTTACAGACCTATGTCTTGATTGAATGTACTTAAATATGTCACAATTCACAGTAAAACATAGTAGGTAATATAGAGTAGCCCAGTGGTAACGCCTTCGATTGGTAAATAAAGTGAGGTGAATTCAAATCCCAGGACTCGCACATCTGATATTTTCATGCGCAAATCATTTCTTAAAAATTATTAACCACTTGTCTTACGGTACCTATCTACGGTACGGATACCTGCATGTCTGACAGAACCTAGCAAGTTTTCAAAAGACATGTAAAGTTCATCAACTATCATGATTCTCTATATTGTAGCAGAATGGATTTATATATTTCAGATATAATCATAGGATAAGATAAGAAATCATGCCTAATTTAAAAAAAAAAATATTACAGACCTATAACATACCTACCTATGCAAATTTTAATAAACATAATATTTAACTCAAGGTAAATAAGATTTACATATAAGCAAGTGTTGCAAATGTTTCGCTATTGTTATTCTTGCAAAAATAAACCTACATACTCAGATAATGTTACCAAATGTGAATCTTGCGTGACATTGTATTCGTACAATGCTTAATAACCTTAATTACGAGTATAGTTACTTTTACATTTATTGTATTATTATACATACATACATACTTAATTAGAGCGTATGTACAATTTTTATGAAGAACAATTAAGAAAATACTGAATTCTCATACGATTACTTATATGTGAGTCCGTTCGTCTATTATAGCATAACTAGCATTGCCCGCGGCTCCGCCCGCGTTCAGATGACCAAAAATTAAATTCTTAGCTTTTACATATAAGTATACTCTTACATTGAGGTTTTTATATTTTATCTCAGAAATGAGACATTTTTTCGCGGTAAAAAGTATCCTATATGTTGACCCGGATAACTAGCTATCACCATACCAAATTTCATCAAAACCCCTACAGTTGTTTTTCTATGATGCGGTAACAGACAGATAGACAAATATTTTAAAAACTATAGATTCGGCCTATGTATCGATAATAATGTTTATTTCAATAAGATTTTTCAAAAAAAATTAATGTATAGATTCGGCTTAGTTACAATTTTATTATATATATAGATTCCAATTTTTAAATACAGTTTAAAAGACATCATAATTTTTTTAAGTGTAAAGTATTAGTTATTGGGTGTTGGTTGCCTCCTATATGCTTTCGTATACGTTGGATAGCAAATATCTCATGTACTTAATTAAAACTAAATAAATTTATATTATTTATAATCACTCTTCTCCTAGAAATAGCAATACAAATGACGCGAAAATCTATCTGCGTAGTGCGCCCGATAACAACGTCTGCCCTAACGTGCTGCAGTCGGATTGCTCGTCCGTGCATATTAGCTTCCCCCTACATTTCTAACTTATGAAAATAAATTTATTTTGACTTAGTACATAAATGTCGATAAGGTAAATACTAAACGAATTTAATTAAGGAAACCTTTTACTGTAGGAAAATTTCTCGCTCCCACGGGAAACGTAACAACTGATCGGCCGAGTTGTCATTCATACAAAAATTTATTACACAAAAACGTTACGTAGCAATAAGACTTTCTTAGATTTACGCGAATACTTGACATTTTAAATCCGAAAAGATAGTTTTATTTACGTAGCAATGTTATAATTAACATATTTATCAATTTAGTCCAGTAAAATCTCTCGTTTTCACGAGAAAATGCAAAATTGATTTCGAGCACAAGTCGCTTATCTATTTCTAGTATACCTATACAGTATACATAGTATTAAACCAAGTTGCTGTTTGCCTCTGTCTGTCTCTCCGCTTACTTCTCTAAACCACGCAACGGATTTCTATACAGTTTTCACTAATGTAAAGGCTCGTGTATATAATTCGTAAGTATTTTGTACAAAATGTGCTTAAACTTATATATTATGATATATATATTTATGTATCTCTTTATTGTTATTTATGTAAACTTGTGTGTAATCTATATACCGTATATGTAGTATACCGTATATGTATATATAGTATGTACCGTATAAGTAAGTATGTTACATATTTTTTTTGCACCAACCTTTATCCATTCTACCCTAAAAGTTCCTTTATAGGTTTATGGGTTGCCTGGAAGAGACCACTTTAAGTGATAAGGCCGCCTTTACTGAAATATTTTGTAAAGTGTTGTATTGTTTTAAAGTTTGTACTTCTTTTTTGATGTAATAAAGAATTAAATAAATAAAATATGTTGGGACATTTAACACACAGCACCATCTAGTTCCATGGGAAGCTTAGAGGCTTGTGTTATGTATACCAGATAGTTGATACACTACACATATATAAACTTTAAATACATACATATTATAAATATAAACACCCATGACTGGAGTACACACATTCGTGCTGATCACACAATGAATGCCCCCAGCGGGACTCGAACCCGCGACCGCTGGCACAGCAAGTAGGGTCACTACACACTGAGCCAAACGTGTCGTCATTAAATAAATAAATAAAATAAAATGAGTGAAACTTAACGCAGTTTTTTCACAAAACTGTTATCGTACGCTTGCATGGCTAGCGTTAGCTAAACCTGTAGATGTACTTCAAAACAGTGTACTAGAAAATTGTAGGTCTTACAAAAAACTACAGAAACGTCCCTTATAGTATATGTGTATCTCCTAACCTTAAGGTACACTATAACTATTTTTATCTATTTAAAACGTAACTAAGGACGCACTCTAGCAAATCAAGTGTACTAAATGGCTAGTATAGTATAAATATATGAGGCGCGACGACAATTCTTATCTTTGTTATTAATTAGTTACGCATAGCTTGACTTTTTCTTACGAATGACGGTAGAAACTCAAAGGTAATTTAGTATCATTACCGCAAGTCTCTTTCAAGATAATGACAGTGTGCATAAATTATTAATAACTTTAGCCTTGAGAAAATCTCAATCCCTTCACAACCTTTAAACTTGTTACGTTGTTGATTTACTTTTTATAAATTTAATTCAAAAGTTTGATGTTTTCGAAAAAAGATTGTTTTATATATAATTTATAATTTAAATTAGTTTTATAAATAATATTGCTTAGATAAATATTTAATAATTTTAATTTTTAATATTCTTTATGGTTATACATAATATAATAATAGAAACACAAAATAACATCAGTAATTAATAAAGTTATTTAAAAATTGTAATATTTATAATAATAACAGCAAAAATTAAATAAATCATATTCCTATATTTAATTATAATATTTATTAAAAAATTAAAATGTTTAGAAATAAAAATCAACAAATATTGTAAGGTACTTTATTGCCATTTTTTGAATTTTTGAAATCATTTTTGTAAAACAGTGCCTACACTGTCTGTAACAAGTATGTGCTTGAGACGTCTATAACTTTAGTCTCTCCCGTGACCATGATTGCTGTAAAACATTCGAAACGTCGGGAACCAAAAATCAAAATAAATCCGTGAAATAATCCGAAAAGATAGTTTTATTTAAAATGTCAAAAATTCGCGTAAATCTAAGAAAGTATTAAATTTACTTACTTAATATTTTATCAATATTTAATAATTAATAAATTTTATTACCTAATTTTAACTAGATATTTAGATAAATATCAGTAAAGATTTTCGTACACAATCATGTTTTGTTTTTACAATTTTTACCGTTGTTTCGAAACTCTACTTCTTCACTAGTAACAGAATTCACTTAAAGTTTATTTAAATTTAAATGAGGAAAAAAATTATACGAGTATATTTAACCAGTTGTAACGTTGAATTTTTATATATTGAACATTTTAATAGAAAATAATATATTTGATTAATTTGTAATGATTTATTTATAAGGCTTTTACTTAACTTAAAATAAGGGCGCGAATATTCATTTATTTTCTCGCGCTTTTGTGGAGGGGTCGGTACCACCATGTAGTGACTAGACACGAATTCTTTGTAATACTTATAATTATGATTATAAATTATGTAACTCACTGACGATTATAAAAGTACTGAATATAAGAATATAAGCAAGGAATATCTCAAAGTTTTATTAGGGATCCAACACAGTTAATAATAAAATGAAAACATTTTCAACAAGTATATTCTAATCAAAATTAAAAATATTACTACACAATATCATAAATAACATTTTTTTAATTTAAAGAAAAGCGCCAAATTAAGAATTATAAGTTTTTGGATGAAATTCATAATAGCCATTGAAACAACGTAGCAATTCATCATCTTTCTTCACGTAGAACTCCATCTTGTATTCACCGTAAACTTGTGGGACGTTGAACTTTGTGTTGTCGAAGAAGAAGCCATCGACGTAATATGAACCCTGTATAAGATATCTATAACTTACATTCAACGAGATCTAAAAGGTGTATAAATGGGTGTCAGGTATATTGTTTTAAAAATAGTAACTAAATTTGTAATATCATAAAACTTTGCCATATGTCATGAGGTTAATTCAAGCTGAGGCAAGTCTTAGTATCCACTCTATCACTAAAAAAAGAAATTTCTACACCTTATTGATTCCATCACTGCCATTTGCGAAAGTACGGACAAATGAACAAAGTAGCAAGCACAGTTTGGCATTTATTTATCTATATAAATGTGAGTATATCAAATCGTTTCTCCTATCAACTTTCAGGAAGCACCGCTAGAGTTAAAGCGATATACGGTCAATTAATAGTTTAATAACGATATAGGTAATCACTGAGGAAGTTCTTTTTTAAAATTGAAAGGATGAAAGGAGTAGCGTAGCATTGATTGTATGAAAAAAAATCTTATTAAGTGACCGCAAATCTATATATATAAAAAAGTCGGGTTGACAACATTTATAACTCGAGAACTGTTGGGCCGATTTTGATGATCTTTGATTTGTTGGATTTGTCTCCGCCCCGAATAGCAGAATAACTATTAAAACTACTAATAATAACTATTTATATTTAAAACGTACCTAAGGACGAACCCGAGCGAAGCAAGGGTAAGCCGCTAGTTATTAAATACGAATAAGTTCAAGTCCCGTGCAGTACAAAAATATATGCTAGGCATATACGTAAATATTTTTTATGATCTGGCCGTCCACGTGTTTTGTATGTTTTACGGACTCACGAAAAGACAAAGAATAATCTAATTGAGAGAGCCATTGAGTGTGTAGAAAGAAATAGAACTTTAAGTTAAAGAAATAAAATAAAGATAGAAAAAATGAATTTTTAGTTTTCAATATTAGTTTTTTTATCTAGTTATGTACTCTGTTTTATATATTTGAAATTGGTTATTATTTTGTATGATGTATGTATGTATTATTACGTATGTAGTTGTAAAGACTTACAGCTGAAATTAGGTAGTCAGTGAGGTTTATGGCTTTTAAAAAATCCGTATAGATATTCCCAAGAGTTAGATTAAATGCATCACATATAGGTTTATTAAGTAGAAAGGAACCCTGTTTATATCCGCCTTGTTTCTTAAGGGACCCTTTCAATTCAATCTGTAAAATTGATAAAGTTTTTGTACATAGTTTGATATATAATGAGATAGATAAGATTTCCATAATGGCTGGTTTTAGAACAAACAACAGCAGTATCTTATTAATTATTAAAATTAACAGGTTTATTTACTCGATTGTGTAATATATTGATATATACTTTTAAAACAAACATAAACTAAATAATGACTTGACTCTTCGAAGTTAATTCCCCTACTCGCCAGTAGGGCAATCTGCTCACCACCAATCCCCGTGGGATTATTGTTAGGGAAATATAATGTAGATTTTCATCGTCTTATTATTTTTAATTCCTAAATATTTGTTTTACATAAAACATTTTTTTTATTTAAATTTTTCATATTTGCTTTAATAAATTTATAATTTCCGCTTCCAGTAAAATTAAGCACTTACAGTTAGAGAATTGCCGATTTCATACTCTGATTGCAAGTCAATATTGAAATATTGAAAACATGAATTGATCTGTTTAACTTTCGCTGTCTAATGGCGAATTGTATTCCTTGAGTTTGTTCTGCATCGGCGCAATATTCCAGGTATTGAAACTCAAAATCAGCAGGACCCTGTGATGAAATTATGATAATAAGTAATCTGCATGCATGACATGAATAATTTATATGCTTTCGCCGCCAACGTATTAGATGCCAGCTATTGAGCAAGCTTGAATATAATAACTATCACTGTCTGTTTGTCAGTCAATGGTAGCCCAGTGGTAGTACATCCGTTTGGGAAGCCGAATGAAGCGGGTTCGTATTAAAGGGAGTCCCGTGACCAGCAGTAAGACGTTAAAAAGGGCTGAATTCAGTTTGTTTATGTCCCACCAAAAAACCTACCAACATATCACCATAGCATGTAACATATTTTAAAATACTTGATACTAATAAAAAGATGTAGAAGCTCAATCGACACATTTTATATGAAAACACGCTTGCACAAACTGTATATTTTTTATAACCTACTATTAATTGCGTGTCCATTGTTGTTCTGATTGTAATGATATTAATGATCAGTTCTAAAATTTATATGTTATATAAAACAATAATTTCATATAATAAAAAAAATATTTATAAATTTTAATTTTTTAATACTTAAAGGTATATTGATAAAACGTTGCTTTATACCAAATTTCACAAAAAAACGTTAAGTTGATACAGCGTGAATAAACAAACAAACATACACTCACACATTCACTTACAAAATTTTAACCAAAAATTTAAGGTACTACTCGTATATACATCTTAAATAAAACTATTTTTTCGGATTATTTCGCGGATTTATTTCGATTTTTGGCTCCCGACGTTTCGAATGTTTTACAGCAATCATGGTCACGGGAGAGACTAAGGTTATAGACGTCTCAAACACGTATACATCCATACAAATATTATAAAGAGGAAAGATTTGATTTTTTGTTTAAATGTTTGTACGGAATAGGCTCCGAAAGAACAGAACCGATTTAGATAAAATTTGGTAATAAGATATTTTGAGACCCTGGGAAGGCCATAGATAGTTTTTACCCCGGAAATCATCCCTTAAGGGGGTGAAAATGGGGATAAAAGTTTGAATGAGGAATCAAACCAGGGACGAATCCGAGCGAAGCGAGGGTGAGTTGCTAGTATTAAAGTAAACTTTTCATAAAATGACTTATTTCAAGCTTTCAAAGTTAATTCATCACAATTTTTTTATTTAATTTTACTAGTGGCTCCTATCCTGAACCTATCCCAAATAACAAACCGTACATTTCTTCGGGATAAAAAGTAATCTATGTATTATCCAGGCTATAATTTATCTCTGTGCAAAATTTCATCCAGATCCGTTCAGCCGTTCTAGCGTGAAAGAGTAACAAACATCCATGCTCACAAACTTTCATATTTATAATATTAGTATAGACAGATATATGTATATATATTAAAAAAACGCTAGGTCCATACCCATTATAATCGATAAAGACAATAACGCTGTTTAAACCTAACAGACAGACAGAATTGCTTGCTGTTTTAATATTAGAATGTTAAAATATCACATGTAGATTGTAAAATGAATAATAATAATTATTAGTCAGTGGTATTGTGATTATTGTATATTTGTATAATAATAATCATCGTAGCGTGATAAAGTAAATATTGCATTTTTAAAACTACAATAACATTTCAACGTATTTCAAATTGTCTGTTTTAGAATAATAGTAATTTAAATTTTATTTTAATTTAAATTAAATTTATTTTTACTTCTATACTAGCGACTGACTCTCGCTTCGCTCGGGTTCGCCCCTAGCTTGATTCCCCATACAAACTTTCATCCCTATTTTCACCCCATTAAGGGATGTTTTCCGGGATAAAAAGTATTCAATGTCCATCCCAGGGTCTAAGCTATCTTTTTACCATCTAATTCGGTTCAGTAGATCCAGAGATTGCCTCCTACAACTTCACAAACTCAGAAACTTTACCTCTTCATAATATTAGTATAGATTTATTTTAATAATATGGAATATGTTTTTAAGTCAGTAATAATTAAGAAGCGGCTTTACCATATATTTTTGTCATTTATTGATTTAAGTGCTGTATAATCATGTAAAATTATTAAGTAGTAAGTCTAAAATATTACTTTAAGTATTTATTACCTCAAATGTTTGTAATTAATAATTTGGAATTTAGGATTGTATAACAATTTAAAGTGCACAAATTCGACTTCTACAAGCGACCCGATTCGAATGTTGCGTTACCCATACCCTAGACAGACCCACGTACGGGACTCAGAACCATTAGTGCGTATGACGCACCCGTTAACCAATATAATTCTTATTTGATTATGAAAATATGCTTATATAGAACATGCATATAAATATACCAAAATAAAGCGATTTTTATCATCCATCCAGATTGTAAGATTGTCATAAGCAAGAGGAATAATTCTAATTTGAGGTGCTTACCGAAAATAGAGCCGAAATATCAGAAACTCAAGAACAATTGTAAAAAACATGGTAGATATCCCTTTTCATAAAATAAATATAATATTATGACCATGAATATTTAAAATCTTATATAACGAAGCTATACTTTTAATTCATTTAGAAATATAACACAGTAGAGAGCACGGAAATAAAAAAAAAACTGCATTATGAAGGTCAATCGAATGTTTACTCTGTGAGTCAACTTAGTTTGACTTTATAGTGTTTTTTTTACTACACACTACAAGAAAGTATGTATATTTATGTAAATATATATAACTTTTGAGATATTTTTCATTATATTTGGAATTATAAAGATAATACTTTAAAATGTTTAAATTTTGAATTTAAACTGGGATATACACGTCGGTATTATGAGTACGTCTTGTACGGTGGTTATTACAATTTTATTACGTTTCCATAATAGGGCAAAATATTAGTTTAAGAACTGTAATAGTATTTTATAAAAAAAATAAAATTAGAACGTATTCTCACACAACTCCGGCTTTTTCACTACCTACATAGTTAACATGCCGTGAAAATAAATAACAAGGTAATAATTCACACCTAATAAGGGGTAATTGCTTTATAGTCCGCTAATATGCCTTTGTCCTGCATTGATCATATCTTAACACGTGAGATTTTACTATTTCTCTGCACGATTTTTGTGGCTTTATCTTTATGAATTTTATACGACATTTTACCTAAATATTTTGAGTTTGCATGACTCACTATATTATGATGAGGAGGACTTTTACTTTCTATTACCAAGTGCTTTTTTTTAAATAAAAGGATGGTTTAGAAATGCCTATATACAGTTTTAAAATCAATGGAGTACTCAGCGTGTAGCTTGCTCGTAGTAATATATTTTTAAATTATTTTGTGTTAATTAATTTGCATTCTATTATCTGTGTCAAGGTCTTCCGGTAATTTATATTCTTGTTTATCTATAAGTATAATACAATTGTACAATATTATCAGGGACAAAGTACATGAATGTTTGGAAGGTGTTGAAGATGTAATAGAAGACATATTACATCACATTATATAATAGAGAATTTCTACGCCGCCGGCTACGTGTTGCGTACAATTTACTTTATATCACGGTACTTTTTTGACAATCGAAGTTTTTATGAAGTTATATTGTTCAACTTTAGTTTAAAAATTTTGTGGACTTTAAGAGTCTACTTTAAAATAAAATTGAAGTTGTTTACAGAAGTTATTTAAAGAGCAATTAATTGGTAAAAGGAGGGAGGAGATGAGCCCTCATGGCTACTATTCAGAGCTTTGAAAGCAGTTGCACTGCAATCGATTTGCAGTACATGCTAGACGTTGAGTTATATTTAATATGATGTTTTGTTAACACTCATATCCTTTTTTACTCACTTCTAAAAGAAGGAAGTACTCGATCAGCTGTATGGATATTTGATCAAGATATCGTGTAAAATACACAATTATACACGATATCTAGGATAATTTAAAATCGATTTTCATCATTTTTTTTAATAAAAATATTATACCTTATACTAGACTATAATATATTCGAACCCTAAGACTAGGACATATGGTAAGGTATTTTTTTTATTAGATTTTGTTCACAAACAAAAAAAAAATAATTAAATTAAAAATTTACAATTATTTTGTAGTTTTTAGAGACAAATATTTGAAATATTGATAAAATATTTATTGATCAATTGTAAGGATTTGTTTACGTTTTTCTTAAATAGATTTTATACCCTAGTGTATGGTTGTTATGTATTAACTATATTATTATTATTAGTTAAAATGTCAGGAAATAGTCTTTGGTCTGTAAGATATAGGCGCTTGACCTGAATTTGAATTTGTAAATTACACAATAGCACTCAGTTGTAAAGCGTAATACACATTGCAGTTAAATATACCTATGATGCGGTTAAAAAGTTCTAGAAGTGCTTAAAGCTTGAATTTTTATATTTCTTTTTTTAATATTTACGTATGAAATTCATATCCATACTAATATTATAAATGTCACAGTGTGTTTGTTTGTTTGTTTGTTTGTTTGTTTGTTTGTTTGTTTGTTTGTTTGTTTGTCCGATCGTTCGTTCGTTTTGGAACAGAGTGATGGATTGACGTGATTTTATGTGTGGAGATAGTTGGAGGGCTGGAGAGTGACATAGGCTACTTTGTCGCGGGAGATAATCTTATTCCCACGGGAAAAAACGTTACATATTGGTTGTATACCAAAAAATATTTATGATCAGAATTACTTGAAACTTGGTATTAATGCTCTTCAAATACAATGAAATAAATACGTGTTTTAGCATTTTTCGAAATTCATCCCATAAAAGTCTAAAATAGGGAATGAAAGTTTGTATGAAATAAAAAATTTAAAATTAAAAAACAGAACAATACGTACATATATCAGATTTTTTCGAAATTTATAAGGTGTTTGGGGCCTAAAATTTATTTTATGATTAGAATTACTTCAAGTGGGTAAAAATGGTTGATAAAGTTGCTAAGAAAATTCGACGTTTTTACAAAATAAAAAATAAGCAATACCTACGTATTATCAATCAGATTATTCAAAAATCGTACTCTGTGAAAGTAAAAATATTATCAGGGTCGAGTTGACTTAAAAATCAGCATTAATGCTATTGACGTTTAATTAACGAATTAAATACTTAAAAAAATTATTGCATTTGGCCAAATTAAAGAGTAATGTTTGTAAAAACAACACAGTATTCGGCGGTACGGAACCCTCACGAGTCCAAATCATACTCATTTACAATTATACACATTTGAAAATCATTAGAGCCATCAAATGATTAATAATAGCATAAAGCGAAAGAGTTTTTTAATACTTTTAGCGCGAGCGAAGCCGCAGGTTCTGCTAGTTTTAATATATCTTTCTATCTTTAATGGCTTGTTTTAATATATTTAATACTAAGAAGTCCGTATCATTTTTAATTATCAAGGAAGTTATGCGTCATAAACTTATCAGTACCAATAGAGTTTAGGTGTGTGTGTAAATAAATTAAAGGCCCATAACTATTAATTTGCATTTTATCTATTTCGAGGACATTAAAAAAATGTTAACAAAGTGGAATATGGACAGATTAAAATTATGCCAACACAGAACGGAGAGACGTATGTTGGGAATCCAGTTAAGAGATAGATGGCGACTGATAGAAATACTGATGGCAACAGCAGTAGTGGACGTAATACGCAAAATAAAACTATTTAAATGGCGATGGATTGGCCACATTATGAGGTCGAAAATGTTAAAATTTTAACAAAATCCATTAAATTCCAGGAAAGTTTTCATTTAAAAAGGAAAAAAGCTAAAAACTATTTCATGAATAATATACCAAAATAAGGTAAATATAATCATTTATATTTAACAAATGTGTAACAGCTTTAGAAATTTTGTAATATTATTTGATAAAACAATTGTTTTATCAAATATCACAAATGGCTTTTTATCGCCACAAATGTACACGCTCAAGACAACATAACGCAATCAAGCTTAAAGTACTTAACTTTACAAATCGTCCTAAATGGAAGGATCTTGCATCAGCAATGAAAACGCTTGCTATCTTAGATTAGTCTAAGATGATTGTCCAAAATTGTGAAAGTTTTGTTTTTCAACCGACTTCAAAAAGGAGGAGGTTCTCAATTCGACTGTATGTTTTTTTTGTTTTTTTTTTTTTTTATGTTTGTTACCTCTGAACTCCGTCATTTATTAACCGATTTGGACAATTTTTGTTTTGTTTGAAAGGGTATACTTCCAGATTGGTCCCATTTAAATTTAAAAAAAAAATACCACCCCTAAGGGTGGAAAAACAACGAATGATGAATTTAACCTACTTCTAATTGTCATATTGACTTGAAACTTTGCAAGTATTTCTATTTCTGTTGATAGTACAGTGGTTCAGTGTTGTTGACCTGATCTGATGGCAAGGCCAGAAGGTGGTTAGGTGGAACTCTTCAACGGCTAATAGTAGATACTTTGAGTTTGGGCTTATTTTGTTTGATTTGACAAGCCTAACACGTTAGAATCCTTACTTTGCTACTACTGTCTACACTAAAAAGGGAAAAATAAAAACTTTTTAACAAAAAAATAAAATCCGACTTCAAACAAAAGCACTAAAAAGTAAAAAATAACTGATTGGTAGTTTTCATTTACTATACATACCTAATCAAATATTTTCGAAGTCGGTGTGCTTTGGCTAAGTAATTAAAGCCTACCTATTAAATACATACCTAATCAAATATTTTCGAAATCGGTGCCAGCCCATACAAAGCAAAGCACACCGACTTCGAAAATATTTGATTAGGTATGTATAGTAAATGAAAACTACCAGTTATTGTTTACTTTTTAGTGCTTTTGTTTGAATTCGGTTTTTATTTTTTTGTTAAAAAGTTTTTATTCATAGTTGCATGCTATATTCGTAGTAGGTTTGACGTTAAAAATGTACTGCAAAAGAATATTAAAGTGGTGCTTCGTTAAATCGTAGTTGCTGGATATTTCTAATGGAAATATAATTATATGTCTATAAACCATATAACTATTGCAGGATTAGGCCCTATTTACTCATCGGTGTTAAAATTAAGGATGTAAATAAAACTATAAATATACTCACTTTTATATATATATTAACATAATACTCACAACTATTCTTTCGTTTTGTCTCACTTTTTACACTGACACTCCACACGTTGCGAAACAACGCTTATGCACTACACAACACTTAAGCACTACACCTCCACTGCACAAATACACTGTTTTATTAAATAATCACTACACAACACTTCCACTTTGAGTTGACACTTGTCTCTTTGGCGTTCAGTGAGAGACTGTCCTCTTGACAGCATATACCCCCTATTTATGCATTCACAAGCACTGCCATCTATGATTAGGTATGTGCGTGTAGTCAATACAATATCTTAATTATCGTTAAATAACAATATGAGTAACTAAATATTACTAAAAAATAACAATGTTGATGACAGTCGGCCATCCGAATAGAATCGTATGACCTCATACGAGATTTAAACAAAATAACTCATTGTAAGAATCAAAGACAAAATACAAGAAAAACAAAAAAAAAAACATTCATAAGTAAACTTGATTAATTACTACATTTTAAACAATTCTGTCCTGAATACAAGGCAACAGGCCCCTTACGTCCTGAATACCAAGTAACAGGCCCCTTTTAGTCCTGAATACATGGCAACAGGCCCCTTACGTCCTGAATACCAAGTAACAGGCCCCTTTTTGTCCTGAATACATGGCAACAGGCCCCTTACGTCCTGAATACCAAGTAACAGGCCCCTTGTAGTCCTGAATACAAGGCAACAGGCCCCTTATGTCCTGAATACCAAGTAACAGACCCCTTGTAGTCCTGAATACATGGCAACAGGCCCCTTACGTCCTGAATACCAAGTAACAGGCCCCTTGTAATCCTGAATACTCGAAAAAAAAATGCTCTCCGACAGTAAACATTTCAATAAACTGCAATTTATGCAAAAATTATAACAACGCATTTTGACCAATAATATATTATATAAAATCACAAAATTATATTTTAAGTTAAATAACCTATAAAGATAGAAAGGTTGTATAATGTATAATGATACTAATTTCACACAAGTTCATTACTACATAACTAAATCAATTATCTTAACAACGGAAGAGTATTTATTATATTTAATCAATTTAATCATTATATTTAATTATATTATTTATTAACTATATTTCGTAATTATATATTCAGCCAAAATTTGAATAAAATACATAGATAAAACAATCTTAGTTCATTACTCACGAGATTCCTCATCGTCAGATTCACTGGAGTATGTCCCACTCACGTGTGGTCTATTGAAATTAAGCCATGGTTTGATTTTATCAATAGCTACGATAGTCGAGAAGCTTCTTCCTCTCTTTGAAGTCAATGGCGTGTCTTCTATGGCAAAGCGATCATGGTCTAAAATAGATGCGATTCTATAAGGTCCCTGAAACTTAGGCACAAGTTTTTTGCTCTGTCCTGTTGCAGGTACTTGGCGTTCCACTCTTACCAAATCCCCTACATTATATTTCGGAGGGATACAACGGTGCTTATCGAATGATTCCTTTTGATTCTGTTGGCATGCTTCAATATGAGTGTTAATTTCATCCCTTATATTAGCTCTGTTCTTGTCCAAATCGTGTATTATTTTACTTTCAGTGGATCCCGTAGGTCTTACCCCAAATAGAGCTTCTGCGGGAGTTCGATTTATGCCCTTATTGAAAGTATTATTCAGACCCCACTGAATATCCGGCAAGTGGTCATCCCATTTATTTTCAGATGTACCAACTGACTTGGCTGTCAATGCGTCAACAATAACTTTATTGTAACGCTCCACTTGCCCATTTGCCCTTGGGGTGGCCACAGCATTCATCACGTGCTTAACATCTTTCGCGTTGACAAATTTCTTAAATAAACTACTAGAAAAAGAAGTTCCTCTATCTGAAATGATTCTTCGTGGTACGCCGAAAATTCCGAAATATTCCTTGAGTACTCTAATGGTACTATTAGATTTAGTATTTCTCACCGGCTTTAAATAAATATACTTTGTGTAAGCATCGATTATTACTAGAATATGCATGTTGCCTCTACTGGAGCGCACAAATGGGCCGACATGATCTACATGAATGGTATCAAATGGAATGTCAATCTTCTCAATAGGATGAAGATAACCAGGCTTCTTACCTCCAGTTGCTTTGGCATAAGAACATTCAAGACAGGAAGCGACGTATTTTTTTATAAAGCTTCGCATTTTTGGAAACCAATACACGGATTTAACCTTTTCCAATGTCTTATCCATAGAAAAGTGTCCAATATCATCGTGATTGATTTTTAGTATTTGCCAACGTACCCCCTTAGGTACTACCCATCTGTCACCGTCTGGAGTAATCCTAAATAATTTTTCACCCTTTAGTTTAAAATTAGTTTTTATATCTATTATGTCATCTAAATTTGGATCTTTAAGTATCTGGACTTTTCTTTGAATCTCGGAATCAGCACTCTGGACGGTAGCAAGCCAACTTTCCTCAGTAACGCTCCTTACCATACAGGAAGCGATCGGAGTAGAATTCGGAACCGGGTTACGACTCAAGGCGTCAACATGAGCCATAGAGACACCTGCTCTATATTCAATATTAAAAGTGTACTCTTGCATCTGTTCCCACCATCGAGCTACTCGTGGTATCATGTCTCGTTTTTGAAATGTTGCACGCAAAGAGTTGCAATCGGTTACAATTTTGAAAGTTATGCCAATAAGGTATACTCTGAATTTCCGAAGGGATGCCACCACAGCCAGAGTCTCAAGGTCGTATGAGGAGTAATTCTGTTCTTCTGGACTAGTTTGTCTACTAAAATATGCAACAGGCAAGCGTACTCTTTCCTTATTCAATTGTATTAAAATGCCAGCTACACCTACCTTGCATGCATCTGTGTGGAGCTCCGTCTCAGCGTTTGGATCGTATAGAGCTAAAGTAGGTTTTTGTGTCAATTTATTTTGAAGCTCCTTAAAAGCGGACTGTTGTTCATGCCCCCAATTCCATGATGTATCCTTTCCGAGGAGGCGTGTCAAGGGTTTTGCTATTATGGAGAATCCGGGTACGAACCGTCTAAAGAAACTTGCCAGACCTAGAAATTGCCGCACATTGTGTTGATTTTGTGGTACTGGAAACTTCGCTACAGCCTCTACTTTACTAGAACCTGGTTGTATTCCACCTTTTGACACCTGAAATCCTAAATAGTCCACATTATTACCAAAAAATATACACTTAGAAAGTTTAAGTGTCAACCCAGCACTGGAGAACAAGCTCAGAACTTTTTCCAAGCGCTTTATACCTTCTTGGAAATCCTTGGCTGGAATTATTACGTCGTCCAAGTATGCAAGAGCTTCTCTGTGACGAGTTGACCCTAAAACTTGGTTCATTATACGTTGGAATGTGGAAGGGGCATTTGCAAGACCAAAGGGCATTCTGTTAAACTCAAAATGTCCCTCTGGTGTTACAAAGCCCGTTTTGTGTTTATCACTTTCTCGTATGGGTATTTGATAGTACCCCGAAGCAAGGTCTAGAGTAGTGTAGAACTCATTTCCAGCTAATAAATCAATCTGATCATCGATCAGGGGCATAGGATAATTTTCTCTTACAGTTTTTTTATTAAGCGCCCTATAATCTATGCACAGACGGTAATCGCCAGTTTTCTTGCGCACCAGTACTACTGGGCTGGCGTATGACGATGTGGATGGCTGGATTATCCCATTGTCAAGCAGCTCTGTTATCATTTCTCTCACCACCTCCTTTTCTTTTATGGACAGTCTGTATGGTCGGTAAACTACCGGCTCATCATCATGCAGAGTTATAGACATTTCTCCAACTGTAGCCTTACCTAATTCTGCCAAACTCGCTGCGAAACAATTTCTAAAGTTGTTTAAAAGCAATAGAAGTTTCTCCTTCTCCTCAGAAGAAATATTAGGTCCGGTTTTAACCTCGTCCATTCTTATCGGTTGATATAGACCTTGAGTTACATTATTAACCGCTATCACCTTTGAATCTACAGTATCCTTATATTCTTCTGTCATATATCCTCGGGCTAATAAATAGTCCTTGTTTATAGTGATTTCCTTACCTGATGCAATACTAACCAATAGCTCTCCTTCTCCGTTATCATTAATGGAAAACAGACCTGCTAACACGGAAAAGACAGTATCTTTTATTAATCTTAATCCTCCCTCTATGTATACGTCACCTGTAACTAATGGCTCAGTATAGACACTAATAACTGATGTACCTGAAACTAAAGTTTCACATTTACAGAACAATTTAATTTTGTAATGCTTACTGGAATAATTAAATGCCGGAAGAAGTTCAAGTTTATCGCTTGTTTTATGGACTACAATATGAGGTTGCTCTGTAAATGTTTGGCCAATCATAACTGGTACATGCATAGCTTCATCTGGTACCACAAATAGTTCTACATCAGCTTCTACTTCATCAATTTTAATCGTTACCAACTGTCTACCCAAAACATTAACAATGGAATTACCGAAACCTTTTAAAGTCGGGAGAGCATCAGTTTCGTATTGGTTATGAGATTTAATAAAATCCGATATCCTTATCATGCAACAATCGCTTCCAAAATCCAGAAACGCTCTGTAAGGAATCCCGTTGACTTCAATCGTTTTTAAATATTTTTCTCCAAGTTGTTTATCATTAGTCACGCGCAGAACATTCTTATCCGTTGTCAATGGTCCTTTAGAATAACACTGCTCTGCGTCATGACCTACTTTCTGACACTTGCCACATTTCTTAACCGGTTGTGGACATTGTGATACTGTATGCCCTTCTTGCTTACAATTAAAACAGCGTGGTCCCTTGCTCATTTGTTTCAATGAAGACTCCTGAGTTCTATTCATGAATTGATTCCTCGGAATTTTACGCTCATTCGTGCGACTGTTCCTGGTATTTCTAAGATACGCAAGTAGTTTATCAGGATTATCATATTGAACCGCCTCTGCACCCAATCTAATTGACCGATCGTCTATGCCATGAAGAATACATTCTACAGCTCGACTACCTGTTATGCCACATCGATTCAATAAAGCAATTTTATCATAATAATAAGTTTCCAGTGAATCTCCGAATCGGGCGCGCTTGGCTAGCATATCACTAAGCATTTGCCCATAATTTTCTGTGGACGGAAATGCCGACAACAATTTAGTTTGCCATTCATCCCATGAGAAAAGAACAGAAGGTAAGCCTTCATACCAACGCTGGGCAATTCCACGTAATTTTGGTAAAGCAAAATGAACTATTTGTTTTTCTGTCCATCCATAAATAGTTGAGCATTCATTAACCTTATGTAACCACATTGTCATAGTCTGTTCTTTTCCTCGAGGGATCGAATTCGGGAATGGTATTATTCATATTTACTAACTTATCTAAATTGTTATCCGTACGACTAGCATATTTAAGTGCATCGAGTAATTGCTGTAACCCACTATTAGCGAACTGAGTTGACTCACCATTGTCCAATAGTCTTCCACGATGGCAACTAGGATAATTCTGGGTGCGAAACGCTTCTTCTTGACTCCCGACTGCGTGGCGTACTGCGAGAACGACTTCGTTCCCGACTGCGTAATCGTTCTCGTTGATGGCTACGTGACCGACCTTGTCGATGGCTGGGGACACGGAGATGGTAAAGATGCCTGCTTCGAGATTCGCTGCATTGTCCGGTGCGACGCCGGCTCGGCTGCCTGATATGGAGTCGGCTCGACGATCTGCTGCGAGACCGACTCGACGGCCTTCCACGTGATCGCTCTAGTTGTTGACTACCAGAAGGGAGCCCGTCAGGGCTACGTAACTGGCGTGACCTTACCCCTCGTGGGCATGGCCGATTGAGAATCGGGCTGCGAGCTGCACTCGACCTCATGAACTCTACTGGGCTCCGAGAGCGCTGTGCCAACCTATTCATATGGCACGATGAACGAGAACTTTCTTGAATGTCCACTGAAAAGCCCAAGATTATTACTCGCATAGTGTAGTGCTCACATTATGTAGTATAATAATACTAAACTCTTGTATTAACCCATATATATTATTATTATTATTTTATGAGATAAGTAGGAGGGTGAGAGAAAAAAAAAATTGGAAAAGGTAGGGGAAAAGAGGAAAAAGTACAGTAACACAACAGTACAGAAGTAGAGAAAATAATCAAGGCAAATATAATATGATTAATTGAAAATAAATAATAAACATTAAAATAAATAATGAAAATAGAGAAAAAAAAATGAATAAATAAATAGTAATTAGTTAAAATACTTACGTCCCATATAAAACAAATTAAATAATGTATATGTATATTAAGGCTATAAAATATATACCTTCACACAAAAAAAAAAATATAATAATAAAAAAATAAAAAGAGTAATAATAATAATAATAAACTACATATTATTAATTTTGTGATCCCACTTCTGAAACTGCAGGATTAGGCCCTATTTACTCATCGGTGTTAAAATTAAGGATGTAAATAAAACTATAAATATACTCACTTTTATATATATATTAACATAATACTCACAACTATTCTTTCGTTTTGTCTCACTTTTTACACTGACACTCCACACGTTGCGAAACAACGCTTATGCACTACACAACACTTAAGCACTACACCTCCACTGCACAAATACACTGTTTTATTAAATAATCACTACACAACACTTCCACTTTGAGTTGACACTTGTCTCTTTGGCGTTCAGTGAGAGACTGTCCTCTTGACAGCATATACCCCCTATTTATGCATTCACAAGCACTGCCATCTATGATTAGGTATGTGCGTGTAGTCAATACAATATCTTAATTATCGTTAAATAACAATATGAGTAACTAAATATTACTAAAAAATAACAATGTTGATGACACTATTACATGTTTGTAAACCAGAAAAATCCTTGATTTGTTTTTAACTTTAGTTAGAGTTTAGTTTAGTTTAGAGTTTTAACTCTATTAAAAATATCATTTTCATTGCGAATAATTTCGAAGTTAAAACGCTGTAGTACCATTTCGTGGCAAGTTACAGTTTTACTCGTCAACCTTAAGCCGTTTCCCGAATGTAAAAATAATAAAAATAAATAATATATAAAATATAAATATATGAATAAAAGTATGTACAAAACGCACTGTGCCCTATATCGAGGCATTCCTTAGGTTATATGGATTAGTAGACTGTGGCAGTAGGCTATGCCAGTAACACACGTGCCAAACAGCACATACACTAGACGTAATATATTATGTGTAATAAATTTTATCTCACAATAAAAGTAATGCGTTTCATAACAATAACTATTTTTAGGAACACGGGTTCAGTTTAAAGGGTTCTGCATACATTCTGATTTAAAGTTTACAAGACTTTAGTTAGACTATTTTGTCAAAGTCTACTGAACGGAAGTCGTTTTTATCACTGTTATTTTTAGTGTTTTATGCATATTGCATATAGAACTTTAAAGATATATTATAGAATGTAGAGTTTGAAGTTCTTTTTTTTTATAAATCGCATAATGTATGGAACTCTCTTTCACGCAAGTTTGACTCGCACTTTACCAAAGTTTTATTTTAATACTATCCAGTACTAAATAAATGGAATAAATTATAATTACTACATAAAGCCGCCCCCCGCCCGTTTGTTTCGTTATATTATTTGAATCGTTGTTTTCGTATATATATATGTTACTATTTATTTATTTATTACAACAATTCATACAATTCATTAAAAACTATTCGTGCAAAGACAATGATATTACAAGCGTCTTTAATTTCAAGTACCTAAAACACAAAATACAGTATTAAATAAGACTTTTACACAAGAACTAAGACATACAAACATTAATAGTTAACAAAATACTCTAATTCAATGAAAAAATGCGTTGTTAAATCAAAGTTTCATAATTAATCATTGAAAAGTCAGCCATTAAGCAATGACTTTGTAGTGCGTATTCATACATATTTTATAGTTGTTTTGTATATTAAAACGGTTAAGGTTATTGAAATTTGTTTTATTAAATCCAAAATAAATATTACTGTGTTTTTCATAATTTACGTATTTACAAATAAAAAGTGTGTGTGTACTTATGTACGTACGCACGTAAGAAGTTATACTTCTTTGGCGTAACAGAACAAAAATAGCTAAAGATTTCATCTCGTATGTTACAACTCTCTGTTTGTAAAAGGAATGTAACTAACTTCCTCATGTCGCTTTTAGGTAACTTTATCTTGTCGCTTTTTGGCTGTTGGTGTGCGCGCGCTTCGAAAGAATTTTTTTCTCTCAATTTTTTTCCATACGTGGCAAAAGAAATATAACTTCAATAATTCGATGGTTTGTGGATAGACGCCATCTATCGTCTAATCAAACAAACAAAATGAACCCGAAACCGAATTAAGGCTGTTCAATTTATTTACATGGGAAGAGGCATATCTATAAATGTCGTATTGTATCATCTGTGATGTGCGATGTAAGGTATACGTATTATATACGTGTATTGTGTATCTATGTATTGTTATTGTACTGTACATGGATTCGTAATTGTTTTGAGTTTTTTTTAGATTTATCTATTTAAATTATTTATAAAATACATAGAAGAAAATTATTGATGTTTTGAAAAGTCATGAAAGAAAAACGCTGTTAGCTTGATTCATATCTTACATAGACTAAGCTTGTGAATATTTATAAAATGGTTGGAAAAGTTACAGTGAATAGAACTTCTACGAATCACCTACCATAAAAGATTCTTTACAAGTAGGAAGCACCAAGTGCTAACAACGGATAGCTATTCGCAAAATTTAATTTTGTTAGATTTTAAAAGATTATATAATAATCTTATACCAGCCTCTAAACTCATAGCAATAGTACTTTAATATCTTACTTTAATACTTTTATATATTTAGCAATATCTATAGTAAGGAGCCAAACGCCAATTCTTGCGCATTACTATTGTCAAAATTTTAATCGTAAACTTGCTACAAGCTTAATTGAGCTTTACCTAAAGATTAACGTGATAGTAAATATTATTTGTGATTTATGAATAAAATTATAAATCACGCGCGGTTAAATTAACTGGCGGCGAAATAAAATAAATCTAATATTTTTTAATTTAACTGTAAAGTTTTCCAAACCTATTTAAAACTTTTATTTTTTTTATTTATTTAAACACATGTAATTATATATTATCTAGAATCTATAAAAATAAACTTATTGATGAAATTTTAAGTATTTTTGCTACGAGTGCTATTTTCTACTAATATTATATCGAAATAATTTTCTATAAATACTAAGACACAACTTATATTTAGTTCAAGTAAAAGTTGTATGTCAATGATGCAATTTGTAGGGTCATTTCATCAGCCAGAAATTGTATTGCGCCGAGTACACGAAAGATTAATAGTATTATGTTATTTATTCACAATTCCAAGTAAAGCTATTTTTATGTATTTAAAGCATATTATACTCCGCATTACGTACATATATTTATTTATTTCGCAATAGAAGATTATATTTCCGTTTCCTTTGCATTGTAAACAATGTTTCGTAAACGAGAGAGTTTAATTTGTAACTTTGGATTTACCAACTCAATGAAAACTTTTATCTAAGCTTGTATTTGTAGCTCTTAAGCTTGACATCAAAATAATACCTATAAATTTAAATGCCGTGAAGTTCCGGAAATCTAACACTGAGGTTCTATCGTATTGTAGTTTTTAATTTACAATGAATTTATAAGTCATTTAAGAGTTTGACTTATTAAATATTCATATTAAAACAAAACACCTAGTTGCAATAGTTGAAGGCTTTTGTAACATCTGTAGTATTGTTCCATAAATGCAAGCAATACATTTCCTTGTAAAGTAGGACAATCTCATATTGTATCTGTCAGATAAGTGACAGCTGCTTCTGTAGTTCTAATAATAATAAAATAAATAAAAAATAAAAAAGCCTTTTTATTTCTTGCAAGAGTAACAAAAGTAAACAAACAATTAGTTGAAAAAAAGAAGATAGTACAGTAATAAGATAATGTAAAAAAAAGTGTATATATTGTTTTTTTTGTATTTTTTTCGTTTTTTTAATTTAAGTTATATGTTATATTTTTATATTTTTTTTAATGAGCATAAAAAAAGTAAATAATGCTTAATCCTAATGTTATGTTTGATTATTACCTGCAAGAACCCTTCCGCAGGTGAAGGCCTCCTCCAAAGAGTACCATTTTTCTCTATCTTGGGCCATTTTCATCCAGCTTGGGCCAGCTATTTTGATAACATCGTCCGCCCATCTCGTAAGCGGTCTTCCCCTGTAGCGTTTTCCACTTGGGCCTTTCCACCGTGTCACCCGTATGGTCCACCGTTCGTCTGACAGTCTCGCCACATGCCCCGCCCACTTCCATTTAAGTTTTTGGGCATAGTTTAGAGCATCGGTAGCTTTAGATATGCTTCTTATTTCTGTGTGTCTTGTGTGTGTGTGTAAGTTAATTTGAATTATTTATTGCTTTCGTTTGTCAATACTAGTTCTTGCTTAAATTATATTTACGTCATTTAGAGTTATTAAAATAAATACAATTGTTGAGAATGTGATTAATAATATATATATATATATATATATATATATATATATATATATATATATAAAGATTTTATAAAAAGTCAGTGTATTGAAGATATAAGTAAATCCAATTATTTAATAATAATATAAATGTGAAACTATATACGTGAAG